ATATATTATTTATATTAAATGTTGATTGTAATAATAATATTTCAATATTATATTAAATATTTTAAATATTAAATGTTGATTGTAATAATAATATTTTAATATTTAATAAATTATTTTATTGTGATTAGACGGTCAAAATTAAACAATTATAATCATCACAACATGATGCAACATTATCATCTCATAAATTATAATACAAATTGTTCTGTTTTATTATCGCAGTTTGTATTTATGATTGCGCGTACTAAACAAGCCTTCAATGTTGTGGAAATAATTTATGGCGTCTGCTATCGATTAATCGAATCATGAATCGAGACCTGCAGAACTTATAAATGTCGATGCTGTGGGAAACTGAAATATCAACTTATAAATGCATTGTCTAATACAACGTTTCTTGATTAAATTGGGATAACGTTGATTATGTTGACCTTTTAAAAATTCATTGGTTCATAAGAACACACCATAATAGGCCGACTGAGAAGTCAGACAATGACTTTCTAATAAAACGACTTTAAGAAGTAATGTTTAGTATTTTTATATGTTTTTCAGTGTGAATACATTTTTTTTGTGTACAAATATGCACAAGATAAGACTAATAGAATATATTATTTGCATTAACCGTGTTTTTCAAATATCCGGGCCCCTGTTTCCCCAATTTACCGCGGATAATCGGCCTGCCTGCCTATAAGGTACGCGCACTCGAAACTCGGCTGATTTCGTGGTTAATTTACGCAGGAAGTAGCCTCGAAACTGCGAGTTTGAGAGCCCTTGAAGCGATAAAAAGGATTAATTATTTAATTATGATCGTCTAATATAGTTTAATCTTTTCGCCGTTCTGAAAGGCTGGATTTAGAAGCGACAGGACACGTTTTAAATTATCAAAGTTAGATAAAAATTGACAGTGGAACCAGGGTTCCGGAGAATTTGACGTAAATACGTCTATACGGAAAGGAAGTTTATATATTGGCTTTATTCTAAATATTTCCTTTATACATGTTTTACAATTGAGTAAAGTTTGATTAAGACATTGCTTAATCAACTTGAATTAGTTACGCTTAAGATGGCTCTGTGGTAGCTGAATGTAATGTTTTATGGGTAACAACAATGCCGAGTAAACAGATGACGTTTCCTAGGTAAGTTCAGTATTAGTTTTTGGTATTTTTTGGGAACTTTAAGGTCATTATATTCTATTTTTCAACGTTTTCTGTACTGTCTCATACATTCTGCGTTATGGAGTCTTTTATCTTGTACATAGTAAGACGCAATAAACTAACGCAATAATAGATTTCTTAATAATTTTATATAAGATAAGTACCTGTGATATTGTAAAACGTTTTTACCAGCACAAAATTATCTACTCTACGACGCACTTCTTCTACAAGCGAATCACAGCTCAGCTCTTTTCGCAATAACGAAAGCGGATTGTTGACGGCAGTAATGTAACACAACAATGCCGAGTAAACAGATGACGTTTCGTAGGTAACCATCGTAACACATTTTCCTTATACTTTTTTGTGGAATGACACTGACCCTTCCATATAGACGTACGAGGTGCGATCGGAAAGTTTCAAGACTGCGCGTATAAAAACCCGTACATTTATCTCAGGTATTAAATTCATCCATCACCCTCGAAGTAGTTCCCCTGGGAGTGAACACAACGATCCCAGCGCCGCTGCCAAGCCTGGAAGCATCCCTGGAAATCTTTCTTTGTCAGCCT